GAGACTTCCTGATGTTATCGGAGTGGAATGATCAATCCCAGCGTGCGGCACATTTGGAAAGCGCCTGAAAACCATACCACAGGTTGACCCAAGCCTTGTGAGTGAAATTAGGCAGACGGAACCCTTGGGGTTCGTAGATAGCTGTGCTAGCACGAAGTCACAAGTCATCGTGACCGAGGGCTTGAACGTGCTAGCCTTGTTCAAATTGTTGATCACTCTAGATAACACGCTCTTTCCCAGAAAGTGTAATTAAGTTTTGCTCAGCATAGTTGCAATATAAACCACAGGTGGGCTCTGTCGGTGTTGAATAAACTGAGCAAGCATTAGTGGTTGGCTAGCCGCCCTAGTAGACAAGTATTCTCGAATATGAGTGGCCAGCTATTCATACCAGATAAACAGAGAATATAAATCACAGAATAGCAAGGATTGTGAAAATTTTATTTATCTAAAGTGCTGATTCCCAAAGAAAAGGGTAACTGATTATCGCTACTCGCTCTTTGGAGCTCAATCGCGGACAAAACATAAATACGTGACTAAAAGGTAAATGCTACAAGATAATCAATGAATATAAATCACAGAATAGCAAAGGTTGGGAAAAAATTTATCTAAAGTGTTGAATCCAAAAAAAAACGAAAGGGTAATTGATTATTGGTATTCGCTCTTCGTAGCTCAATCGCGGACAAAACATAAATACGTGCTCAATGACTAAAATAATCAGTGAATATAAATCACAGAGATATCCCATCATCCATTCTTTCAGTTTACTGAGAGGAAGGTGTTACAAATTCATGACGGTCGTCTTCGAGTATAGAATCCAGAGGTTGGCAGTGAATATTTCGGAGACAGTAGGAAAGCGTTCATTTGCTCCTGCATCAAGGAAAATTAATCTCGTTAAAACCTTGGTGTATAGAGCGCTTAAAGTGTGTTCCCCTATTAGATTGGACCGTGAATTTGGGAACATTAGGGATATTTTCCTTAGTAACGGCTATCCGGAGGCCCTTATTGACTACATTATAAGTAAGAAAACTAAGGAATTTCATTCCCCTAAAATCCAGGGGCCTTCTAAATGTCCGGTTTATTTGAAGATTCCCTGGATTGGGGATAGTGGTCAGGGCTTAATTAAGCAGGTTAGCAAGTTGGTTTCCGGTTGTTTCCCATCAGTTGCTTTACGTAGCATTTTTCAAACTAGGTCTGCGTTTCCGTCTTTTCGCAAGGATGTATTGCCCTACATCAAATTGAGTAATTTAGTATATGAATTTAATTGCCAGTGTGCTGCTGGTTATGTGGGGCGTACAACCTTGCATTTGGAAACTAAATTAATCAGCACGTTCCTTCAAAATACGACTTGGTAAGATAGATAGAATATGCTATCTTCCCCCATGAATATGGATTCGGCTATTGCTCAATATTTAGTTGAGAATATAGCTTGTGCCAAGTTGTATAAAAAGAGTGGTTTAGAATTATTCATACAGCCGATTCAATAATCATTTGAAGATTTTGGAATCGGTCTGTATAGGATTTAGAAAACCTTCTCTCTGCCGGTAGAAAGAATTTATAATGTCTCTGAATCTGTTGGGGATATTTTATTTTAACTGTCCCTCGCTATTTATTTACACGATAACCCTTCCCTCGTTACAAGTATATATACTTGTTCGTTATTTTAGTGTGTTTCCCCTCTTTTTTGCTCTTCAATATCGCTATTATTCATTTCGCTAATCCAACGATTGTCTCCTGATGAGATGTTGGCTGAAAGGGCTCTAGAGACTTTTAATATTAAAATCAATGGTTTCCTAGTTTTTTAAAATATATATATATATATATATATATATTTTTAAAATATATATATATATATATATATATATATATAAAACTGTAACAGAAGGTTGCTTAGATTTATTATATAGAGTCTCAAGTACTTTCAAATAGTAATTCAAATAGGATCAGATGATGACTGTGATTGTTTATTATTATATATTGACAACTGTATGCCAATCGTCATTTTGCACAGTACATAGCTGTTACGTACTGATCAATACTTATTAACTAATAGCTTGGAGAGAAATGATTGATTCATACCTTTACCAAAGATATTTGTGCATAACGGAGCAAGGCATTGTAAGAAACATTAAACTAAACTACTTATGGCTTGGAATGATTTCCAAAAAGCCTGTGATATATTGCCGCTTTGATGAATCTTGAAAACACTCCAGATGTTCGATATATATTGAAATATTATTACTGTTCACAACAATAGTATGAGTAATTATTATTATTATTATTATTATTATTATTTTATTTCCTTTGTATTTTGGTGTGAACTCATTTGTTTCTAACCAGTGACTTAATTCATCAATGGCATCATGACATTTTCCACTGAGCAATTTTGAAAAAAATCACACATATTTTACATAGATAAAGCTCTTTGTAAGGTGTGGCCTGTACTTATGAGAACATTTTTTGCATTCCTTTAAGGTAAGGGCTTCCAGGCATCCCTTCACTGAGTCTATTGCAATCTTTTCCAATCAATCCGAGAGCTCCAACTGAAATTATTAATGTCCTCATTCGCCACATTTTTGAGATTTCTATTTCAAGGTCCTTGTAATTTGATAACTTTTTGAAGATCTTCAAAGATACATTGCAATCTGCATGGACTGCCGTATCAATAAGGAGGCACCTTTTGTGTTTGCGGTCTCTAATCCCGTTGTCTGGGTGATTTGATTTTACTGTCTGTGTGTATTCTGAATTCCCATAAAATTTTTACAGGTCCTATCACCGTAACCGTATCTGTGTCGTGTTCATACCAATTTCTTTCAGTTTCCCTTCCGTAGAAGTTGCAGATTTTCCAGTGCAGATATTGGCAAATTCTGTCATACCGTGTTTTTTATTCAGTGGATGCCAATGCCGTGCAACCTGATGCAAGAGGATCAATTGTTTCTGGATATCGATATCTTGGAATCGGCATCTTGGGCTAACAATTTTTCAGCATGTGCGTTTGACAATTTCTAGTTAACAAGCATTAGTCCTGTTCAGCAAGAATAAAACCTTTGATTTCAGCTTTTAACCCTGCACTACGTAGCCATTGATAGGCAAAAGGGTTTGCCTATACATCAGCTTGTTTGGTACGGGCAGTGTATTGACAGTGAAGCGGTTTATCTTGCCATTGTTTCTGTATCTGGTCAGTTGCATTTGCCTTTTGATTTCTTTTTTACGCATTTTACAGCTTCAGTCAGTGTATTGTGCTTTACTTGTATTTCTTCATCCAGTTGAAACTCCAATTTGAACGTGTTGGCTTCCTTTATTATAAAATAAAATCGCTTACTACTTTCATGTTCTTTTATACATATCATCAGCCAGTCTTCTCTAGTTTCTAGATACCTGTGAAGGCCAATTGTTGTAGTTGTTTTTAAGACAGTTCTAGTTGAATTAATCCTCCGAATCCTTTGAATCTTGGCACATACAGACGATCAACATCAGCTTTGAGATAATGCATGCGGTGGCAGGTGAGAAGCCTTCTCGTTTTGGTGTCAGCTATGGCCTAGTTAAGGATGTTGAAACTATATTGCACTATAGGGACAGCCAATGTGTTTATGGCTGATATTCTTTTTTTTTTTTTTTTTTTTTTTTTTTAATTCAATTCGATATACAAGACCAGACGCACACGCCTGTAGTATTCATTTCTTCTCATTCATTTGGGTATACTATATGTCATCTCCTTCGCTAATTCCTAGGTAAATATATGCTTCATTTTGTTTCAATTCCTTAATCTTTGTGACAAAATCTAAATCTATTGGGTGTGTTTCTGTAATTCTCTCTTTCTTGAATATGATTTTTCCATATTTATCTAATCCGAAATCCACATCAGTATCGTTACTGAAACATTTTACAGTACTGAGGAGATCCTTCAACTTATTGTCGTCTTTGGCAAAGAGTTTGAGGTCACGCATGTAGAGTTGGTGACTGAATAGTTTCTTGTTTAGTTTATTATTAATATTATTAATGTTGTGTTGGTGCCACATATTGACATACTCATTGGAATGTCTGTTCTTGGAGATGATGTCAACAAGACTACCCAGAATTCAGGAACATTTCAGAAAATCCTCGCAGAGTTAATGATGGCATTTTTCTGGATATTGACAATCATGGTCTCCATTTCAATTCTCCCTAAGCGTGTTTTCGGTTTTCCAGACTGTGTTCTAAAGGCACCAATTACTGCAGAAATTAGTTCTCCATACATGTTCATAGCTTCTTCAGTTCCCTAGACAGATCCTGGTATTTTACAAAATATTAATTTGTGCGGAACTGCACATCTTCTTTTTTTATGTGCTATGTCCCTTCCAGACGTAGGCGATCACGGCTTTCCACAGCTACCTGTCACGTGAAGCTCTTTATTTTCCTGTTATTTCCCCATAACCCTATTCCAAAATTGATTTACTCAACCTATGCTATGCATTGTTTTTCTCTGTTCCTCTTGCCCACTATCTGTCACGTGAGTATCAGATTTTCCAAGCACTCCTTCCTCAATATATCCTCCAGAAACCTCAAATGTCTCTTCTTGATATTAAATATCAGTTCCATTTTTGTTTCTATATCATCTTAGAAACCCTCTCCATCTAAAAGCAACGTCCTAAATTTTCAGAATTAAGTCCCCTACAGCGTGCTTTTTAATCATAGACCCCAGTGGGGACATGCTAATTAGACACTTAACATTACTTTCTGGCATGATGGCACCACACACAATATTGTCTGAGTAAGACGATAAACTTAGTCCAACAGCAAGGCCTCTGATCAAGAGGTTTTGAGGAGCGTGGAACCACTTCTTGATTGCTGGTGTTCCCAGATCCGCCCTGGCCCGGTGTGGTAGCACCTGTTAGGGTCCCAGCTATGGGCAAATAGTTAATGCCCAAACTTGTGTAAAAACAGGTTTTAGTACCAGAAATACTTTTAAAAAATACCAGCAATAATATTTTGGAGGAAAAATTATTATCAGCAATACTTTAAAAAATTACCAGCAATACAAACAGCTATATATGTTTTTGAAAAAATCATTACCAGCTATAGATTTCTTGAAGGAAAAATATTCTCAGAAATAGATTTTTTTTTTTTTGAGAAAAAAAAATATTCCCAGAAATGGATTTTTTTGAGGAAAAAAATTGTCTGCATTAAATAACCCATTGTGGTTGATATGCCGTAAAACACACAAACAAACCAAACCACACCACACAATAATAATAATAATAATAATAACAATAATAATATTAATAATAATAATAATAATAGTAATAATGATGATGATGATGATGATGCTGATGATAATGATGGTGATGATGTTGATATAATATATGTTGTTTCCCCACATATGATAAATCCTATTTTGTAAAATGTTAAATAAATTATAATTATTATTGTATTGTATATTAATAACAATAATTAATATTATTAATTGCTATGATTACTTTTACATAAACTGACCCTTCACATCACATGATAAATGATTATTATTCTAAATTTTATATATATATATATATATATATATATATATATATATATTAAATGACTCGAATTATTTTCAGTTGAATAAAAAGAATTATTTTCACAGTGGGTTTTTTGTCGTAATAATAATAATAATAATAATAATAATAATAATAATAATGACGGATAAATCTAAAACCTGCTGTATTTGAATAGGTCGATATTCCGTCTCCCCAAAATACGGCATCAATTTCCGAACAATAAAATCCCTTCTCCTTTTGCGTGCGATGCACGCTTAATATTTTTTTCCCCATTTCTCCAACAATTAGCGATACCGACCACTTTTCGTCTCGCTGCCACTTTGTTACATGCCTATTTCCGCCACAGCATCACGTGGCTCCTGTCACGTGGAGCTGTAAACGACAGCACCTTCACGATATTGAGAGCGACAGATTTCCAACCGGAAGTCGCTCCGGTCTCAAGACAACGAACGCGACAGGAAGTTGACAAGCGATAATGGAGTCATTTTTCTGTGGCTCGATCTACCCTTGTCTTCGACTGTTTGTTTTGTATTTTCTTTCTTGCTTGCTTTCCTTCTTTCTTTCTTATATTTTCTGTTTATTTTATTGAATCTTATTTTTCTATTTCAAAATGTTCATTTTTACGCTATTTTTCTTTTTTTTCTTTATTTTCATCCTTTAATTTTCTACTTCGGCCAGTCTCTTGTTTTCAGTCGTTTCTCATTCTCTATTTTCTCGTTTTCCTCATTTTTTGTCAAATTATTATTTTTTTTTTCTGTCGTGTTTTCCTCTTCCTTTCTTTCTTACTTTTCTCTATTTTATTGAATTCTTCTATTTTCATATTTAAAAATTTTCATTTTTTCGTGATATCTTTTTTTTTATTTTATTTTATTTTTCTTCTTCCTTACTGCCTTTTTTTTTTACAATCTTCCTTCTTTTTTTCATTGTTCTCATTTCTTAGATTCTAATTTTATATAATAAAGATTATTTCTTCAAATAGTTCTTTGCTTTCTTTCTTCCTCTTCATCCTCTTTTCGTTCCTTACTTTTTCCAATCTTCTTTGTTTATACTTTATTTTTGTCGGATTATGTTATTTTTTTCTTTCTTATTTCTTTCTTATCATTCTTTCTTTTTTTCTTTCTTTTTTCTTTACTTTCTTATTTTTCTTTTCTTTTTCTTTCCTTCCTATTCCTGTATTTGAGAACAACAGCAATTAAGAGGGGGTTCCACGTCCCTCAAAACCTCCACTCTCCCAGTGGCCGTGCTATCGGACGTAGTTTATTGTAATACCCAAGACTTTGTGAGGGAATTGTCTAACATTCATCGTCTTGTTGGAATATTATGTAGCATTTCAAGTATCTTTTGTTTTTTTCTGAATAGGTTTTCCTGATTCTTGATAGTTTGCTTAGCGTTTTGAATATATCTGTATTTGAACCGTTTATATCTTGAAAAGGTTAGTTTTCTTTTCGCTAGCATTTCATCTTTTAGCATTAAATTGGCAATGTTTTCGCTCCTGACTTGAGATCCCGGTATCATTCTTTTTAAGGGTAATTTTTCTGATTCGTTTTCCTCGTTGGTAGTCCTGGGTATAACGATAAATTATGGGCAAACAGTGTACCCTTAAACAATAGGAAAATACATTTTTATATAAATAAGACCAGCAATGCATTTTTATATAGTAAGAATACAAGCAATACCTTTTTATATAGTGAAAATACCGGCAATTCATTTTCATATCGTGAAAACAACAGCGATGCTTTTTTATATAGTGAAAATATCGGCAATACATTTCTATATCGTGAAATTCCCAGCGATAGTGAAAATACCAGCAATAAATTTTCATATCATGAAAATACCACCGAGGTATTTTTATATGATGAAAATGCCAGCGAGAAATTTTATATAGTGGAAATGCCAGCGAACAATTTTATATAGAGAAAATACCGGCAATATATTTTTATATTTTGAAAATACCAGCGAATCATTTTTATATAGTGAGGATACAAACGATTTATTTTTATATAGAGAAAATACCGGCAATATATTTTGTTATCGTGAAAATACCAGTGAGGCATTTTGATATAGTGAAAATTCCAGCTATGCATTTTTATATAGTGAAAATACAAGCAATATATGTAATATGATGAAAATACCAGCGATGTCTTTTTATATAAAGAAAATAGAAGCAATACATTTCTAAATAGTAAAATTACCTACAAATGATATTTATAGAAAATTACCAATAATACATATTTACAGCAGAATTAACAACAATACATTTTATAGTAAAATAACCAACAATACATTTTTATATAATAAAAATTCCAGTGAGACATGTTTATATAGTAAAAATACCAGCATTACATTTTTATATAGTAAAAATAGCAGCAATACATTTAGTATAATGAAAATAACATCGATGCATTTTTATATAGTGAACATACCAACGATATATTTCTATATAGGGAAAATACCAGCGACGCATTTTTATAGTAAAAATACCGGCAATACTTTTCATATCGGGAAAATACTAGCGAATTAGTTTTATAACATACCAATGATATATTTTGTGTAGCGAAGCCAGCGAAGCCAGCGAAGCCAGCGAAGCTTTTTGTATAGTGAAAATACAAGCAATACATTTTTCTATAGTAAAATTACCAATAAATCATATTTAGAGTAAATTTATCAACAATACATATTTATAGTAGAATTCTAAGCAATACATTTCATAGCAAACTGGCCAACAATACATTTTATCTGTAATTGAATACATGCAATGGCTTTCACAAATATGTTTAGTTGAAGCCATCAAATCGTGTTTGAAAGATTTAGATAGTGGTTGATATGGCGCTAAACAAAATCTACCAACCAATTCTCGTTGCGACTTCAGTTATGTCTCATCATTTCAGTTCTAATAGTTTCATATGCCGCACATCTTGATTTTGGTCATCTCTGGCTTCCTTCTTTCCTGTCAAATACGATCTTCAAAAAACTTCAATGCAATTCCGATCATCTGTTTTCTTGAAACTTGTTCTTGTTATCGTCTTATCTTTCTATCACATCTTTTAACACCTTGCATTCTAGTGGTTTTTATTTCCTTGCTTGGGTGAAACAATCTGAATCGATTATTCACCAATCTCATCAGATCTGTAATTAATTTTGTCGTAAATAAAAGTTGGAAAAATTAATAAAATTAAAATTTATTGAAACAAAACAATTACAGTTGACCACTGATTACAATTCCAGAACAACGTAACAATAAACAATTTTTTCTAACCTCTGCCAGCCGCAATGATGGAGAAAGCATTACCTCGTACCATGGCCATTGAGACACGCTGCAAGACCCACTACTTTTCGCGAGGCTCGTCCCTTAATCGAGACGCAATCGCGCCAATCCTCCGAAGTAAAGCCATCGAACGAGGGTCAATAACCCCTGAAGTCTCCACTGCCACAGGAGTAAAAAAAAATCTATCAGCAAGAGAAGAATATTTAACTATTTTTTTTTATCTCTGCATCCCGGGCGACGGATCCTGGCTCAACCGCAGAACTGATCAAACACAGGTCGCATCCCAAAATCAATGACTTCCCCATTTTAAAAGGGAAAATGATAATGCCATCCAGCCGCTTTCCATCACCGCGGTCGAGGCCTACGGGTTCGATTTGCGAAGGGAACCCAGCTGCATCCAAACCTCTTTTGATGATGTCGTTAATGGCTGTTTGCCGTGGAAAGCGGCCGGCACTACGACGACAGGAGAGAGGATGCAAACCAAACTCATCGATGTAGTCTCCACATCTGCATCTATGACGCTCACATAACTTGAGTCCAAGACAGATCCCGACTCCGATCCGAGTGCACTCATCTAGAAGGGTACCGGTAGATGAAGAGGGCACTGCGTTGAGCCAGGCGCCACTACTCGGTTGTGAAGCAGATAGTAGACAGGCGAGGCGGTGTTGATCCAGAGAGAGCCTCAAATTAGAAAAATTGGCCTCGCATTTTATTTTATCCCAGCATTTTGTTTTGATGTGTCTAGTGGGAGAGAAAGTAATTCAGGAGTCCAGACACTGCAAGTTGGAAAAATATTTTACGTTTTAAAGAGTTATTGTGTGACTTCTCACCAGACTTGTTCAAACTTTGAGAGAATTAGAAGTCTTATCTTGATTAATTATTGGCGGACACAATCTTAACCACATTGCATATGCAGGTAACATAATGTAGATAACAGACATGGGGAAAAAACTACAGAAACAAAGGAAATTGAGAAGAAAGAAATAATCCTCAACTGTAAGAAGATAGAATGCATGGTTGTCAGCAAAAAAGGGCAGCCCAACATTCAAATTACAAATTGGAGATGCCAAAATACAGGAAGTCCAAATATTTAAATATCTACGAAGTGTTTTAAGCAAAAACGAAAAATACGACCTCCAAACCCGAAGGCCTATTGAGATAGCGAAAGTGGCCTGCCATGTATTAAGAATTAGGAAAATTTCGTTAGAAACAAAGAAAGGAGTTTTCTGAATTGCTATGTAATATTAATCCTCCTATATGGCAGTTACTGCTGGACAATCCCATACAGATGTGAAAAATAAGGCAGGTAACAGAAATATGGTTCTACAGAAGGATGCTGAGAATACTGTGGACTGAACCTGTTAGCAACGACGAAGTTTTAGAGAAAATGGAAACAAAAAAGACACATACCGAGCACGAGAAAAAAAGAGCTGCAATTGCTACAGAACGTAAGAAAGGAAAAGAGGTTGGAAAATTTAACACCAACAAGTCTTTCTTTCTTTTATTTTTTTATCTTTTATTTTTGGTTCATGTTTTTATTATTCTTTCATTTTTAATGTCATTTATTCATTCATCCATTCTTTCTTTCTTTAATTCATTCGTTGGTTGATTTTTTTTCAAAATCTTTTCTTTTTTTATTCAAAATAAGAAACAGTTTTACCATTTTTTAAAAATCTTATTTTGACTTTTTCTTTGTTTTTTCTTTCGTTCTTTTTTTTTATTTTGTGCTTTCTTTATTTCGTTCTTCGTTGTTTCTTTCGTTGTTTCTTTCTCTCTCTCTCTTTCTTTCTTTCTTTCTTTCTTTCTTTCTTCCTTTATGTAGTTCTTTTTTCTTTTTTCTTTCTTTCTTGACTTTTCTTTCTTTTTTTTCTTTCTTTTTTCTTTCTCTCGGTCTGTATTTCTTTTATTCTTTCTTTTTTCCTTCGTTCTTTCTTCCGATCTTCTTTCTTTGTCTTTCGTAGGTTCTTTCTTTTGTTCTTTCTTTCATTTTTCTTTCTTTTTTTTTCTTTCTTTCTTTCTTTCTTTCTTTCTTTCTTTCTTTCTTTCTTCGGGTGTTTCTTTTTCTTTTACTAATCAAGCATATATCTGATTAAATACTGGCTTTATTCTGTCTTTCTTTAATCATTTTCAACTTTTTCATTAGTTTTTCTTTTATTAATCAAGCTTGTATTTGATTAAATACTGGACACTTTCTTTCTTTAACTTTCTTAATCTAACATATATCTGATTAAATACAAGCTTTTGTCTTTCTTTTATTAATCAAATATATACTTGATTAAATACTAACTTCTTTCTTTTATCAATTAAGTACATATTTGATTAAAAACTGACTTTTTCCAATATTTCTTTTATTGATCTAGCTTATATCTGATTAAATATTGGCTTCATTCTTTCTTTCTTTTTTTCTTTCTTTCTTTTATTAATCAAGTATATATTTAATTAAATACTAACTTCTTTCTTTTATTAAGCATATATTTGATTTAATACTGTCTTCTCTCATTCATTATTTCTTTCTTTTATTGACCTAGCTTATATCTGATTAAATATTGGATTCTTGCTTTCTTTCTTTTATTAATCAAGCATATATTTGATTAAATACTAGCTTTTTCTTTCTTTTATAATCAAGCATATATTTGTTTAAATGCTAATCTAGCCTTTCTTTTTTTATCGATCTAGTATATATCTAATTAAATACTAGCTTCTTTCTTTCTTTTTTTTATTCTTTCTTTGATCGTCTGCAACTCTTTCTTTGTTTTTGTTATTGCTTGCTCCTTGCTATTTTTCCGATCTCTTTCTTTTCCATGTGTTTCTTCTTTCAGTTTCCACTTCTTCATTATCTCTTTTTATTTATTCTTCGTTCATGCTTGTCTTTATTCTTTCTTACCCAACTTGATACAGCATTTTTTTCTTTTCCCATCTGACATCACCCTCCATATTTCAACTTCTCCCCTCCTTACTCTCCATCTTTTTTTTCTTTTCTTGTCCGTTCTTCATCGTTTCATTCCGCATCCCACGTAACTCCCTTGAGTACACAATCGACGGTCTAACTCCTTATTTTTTTTCTTTTGGCGTGTGACACCCTCAGTCCAAACCTAGTGCTCCCTTGTCATTTGTTAAAAGGCGGCCACTCAGGAAACTTACAATTACGCTTGTGTGGAAGACAAAACATGGAATGAGACATTTGTTTTGTGTCTTGTAGCTGCCTTTCTGTTTTGGCCCCAAAAAGCCACTGCAAGAACTTGAGTGGTTCGAATGAAGTGGCGGATAAATGTGTGGTAGGTGAGGCAGACATTATTGGAAAAGGAGCGAGGAAAAAGATGGTAGAACAACGGTACAAAGGAATTAAATACATCAGCGATTAGGGAGAAAAATAAACCAAAAAAGAGAAAAGGAGTGATCAAAACATTTAGAGAAAAAAAATAAACATTAAAATCAATATAAAATAATATACACAAGAAAAAAACTAGGGTGTACACGTACATAAGTGTGTGGGTGTATGTAGGATGGTTTACTGAAAAGTTCTCAAAGAACGGATGAAAAAAAATTCGGATGTTTGGCCATTTGGTCAGATTCGGTTGAGCCGAGTGATTTTAAGCCTTGTACTTTTTTTTTTATATGCGATAGCTAGACAAACAAACTGAACGCCATTTGATCAATGAAAGATACTAAAGAAGGGAAAATATATCCAGTATAGAGCAAAACGACGAAAAATGCGGAGGGAAAGACTGTGATACGACAAAGTTAAAAATTGAAAATATCAGGAATATCCAGCTATATCAAAAGTTACATAGCTTGCCGGCCTTCCTGTCTGCCTGCCTGCCTGCCTGCCTATCTATCTATCTATCTATCTCAGTCTGTCTATATCTATCTATCTATCTATTTCAATCTGTCCATATCTATCTATCTATCTATCTATCTATCTATCTATCTATCAATTTCAGTTTTTTCATCTATCTATCTATCTATCTATCATATAGCGATAATTTTGTATAATTTTACCTATCAACAAACAGTATTTAGAAAAATATGTATTTACAAAAAAAATTTCAAGTTTGTCGTTTTTTTCTTTCTTTCTTTCTTTCTTTCTTTCTATCTATTTGTCTATCTAGATAAGTAGACAGAGTTCGTTAGATTTGGAGCATGTGATCAAAAGAAACTTTTTTTTGCTTGATATCAATATGGCTGATGCTAAACTCCAGTAGAGCAACATTCTTCGCCTTCTTGGGCTCACGGTACTATGTTGATCAATAGTTACGTCTATTGCAAGGAAAGTTGATTCAATGTTCCAGAATTTGGTTGGTTGCGGGGTAGAATCTATCTTGCTCATTTTTAATTCTACCATTCCTCTGTGCATTTGGCCCGATGCTCACGCTGCATATCTCGAGATGCTTGACAAAATTCCAAGAAGATTCTGTAATCTATTTACATTATTCAGACTATTTTCCTCATCTTTGTCGCCATATTTATTACAACGTTTCGGCCGTTGTACGCTCCGGCCTTCTTCAGGTGGTTGGAATGTCGAACTGAACCCTTTATTTCGCTCACTAGGGTAGACTGTTCTAGTTCCACGTGCCATGTCTAATGGATGTCAGTTATCAGTTATCTCCTGTTAATTCCCCTCTTCAATTTCTCCACCACCTTAACCAGGTACTGAAATCACACTCTTTGGGTCCTGTCACTAGATCTAACTAACACCTTTATCAAAAGTACCATGTGTCCTTGAGGACATGGCATAGTGGATAAAAGCGTTAGTTAGATCCAGTGACAGGACCCAAAGAGTGTGAAATAGAAATATAGACAGATACTGAACGTTCTGTAATGTAATCGACCCTGGCTTCACGTCTCGACTTGGCTTCCCTCTGTCTTTTCCACTAATATTTTCATTGGCAACTGTTCTGATGAGCTTTTATCACTGAAACCTCGACTACATGAATATATATAATTGATATACAATTGCTACTAGATTGACAACAAGGTTTCACCTTTTTACTGTAGAATTAGATGCAACCGCAGCTCCCCTTCTAAGAGTTTTTTTTCGTACTTCTTACCTGTGGAACTCCCTTCATATTTCTTGCTTCCCTGCCAACTACACACTTCAAAACTTTAAATGCAATGTCAATCGCCTTTTCTATTCCTGAAACAAGTTCTATTATTGTCTTTTTACTCTTTTATCTTCACAAAGATATTTATATTCTCTTTCACTAACTGTAATCACCTTCATTATTGCTTTCTTTGCATCGAAATGATTAAAAGACATAAAAAGAATAAAATGTTTACTCAAAGTAGGGTAAATGGCATTCCTTAGGGACTTCGATGACAGCATTTTAAGCGGCCAATAGCGCAGTACTTCCGATAATGGCGTATGATCTTTGTCTTCGATGACAGCCTTTTAAGCGGACAATAGCGCTTTACTTCCGATAAGGGCGTATGATCTTTGTCTTCGAAGACAGCCTTTTAAGCGGCCAATAGCGCTGTACTTCCGATAAGGGCATATGATCTTTGTCTTCGATGACAGCCTTTTAAGCGGCCAATAGCGCCGTACTTCCGATAAGGGCGTATGATCTTTGTCTTCGATGACAGCATTTTAAGCGGCCAATAGCGCCGTACTTCCGATAAGGGCGTATAATCTTTGTCTTCGATGACAGCATTTTAAGCGGCCAATAGCGCTGTACTTCCGATAAGGGCGTATGATCTTTGTCTTCGATGACAGCATTTTAAGCGGCCAATAGCGCCGTACTTCCGATAAGGGCGTATGATGTTTGTCTTCGATGACAGCCTTTTAAGCGGCCAATAGCGCCGTACTTTCGATAAGGGCGTATGATCTTTGTCTTCGATAACAGCCTTTTAAGCGGCCAATAGCGCTGTACTTCCGATAAGGGCGTATGATCTTTGTCTTCGATGACAGCATTTTAAGCGGCCAATAGCGCCGTACTTCCGATAAGAGCGTATGATCTTTGTCTTCGATGACAGCCTTTTAAGCTGCCAATAGCGCTGTACTTCCGATAAGGGCGTATGATCTTTGTCTTCGATGACAGCCTTTTAAGCAGCCAATAGCGCTGTACTTCCGATAAGGGCGTATGATCTTTGTCTTCGATAACAGCCTTTTAAGCGGCGAATAGCGCTGTACTTCCGATAAGGGCGTATGATCTCTGTCTTCGATGACAGCATTTTAAGCGGTCAACAGCGCCGTACTTCCGATAAGGGCGTATGATCTTTGTCTTCGATGACAGCATTTTAAGCGGCCAATAGCGCCGTACTTCCGATAAGGGCGTATGATCTTTGTCTTCGAGGACAGCCTTTTAAGCGGCCAATAGCGCTGTACTTCCGATAAGGGCGTATGATCTTTGTCTTCGAGGACAGCCTTTTAAGCGGTCAATAGCGCCGTACTTCCGATAAGGGCGTATGATCTTTGTCTTCGATGACAGCATTTTAAGCGGTCAATAGCGCCGTACTTCCGATAAGGGCGTATGATCTTTGTCTTCGAGGACAGCCTTTTAAGCGGCCAATAGCTTCGTACTTCCGATAAGGGCGTATGATCTTTGTCTTCGATGACAGCCTTTTAAGCGGCCAATAGCGCTGTACTTCCGATAAGGGCGTATGATCTTTGTCTTCGAGGACAGCCTTTTAAGCGGCCAATAGCGCTGTACTTCCGATAAGGGCGTATGATCTTTGTCTTCGATGACAGCCTTTTAAGCGGCCAATAGCGCCGTACTTCCGATAGATTATGCATGGAACGCAGCTTGGACATTTGCTGAACTATATGCTACCGGAGAAGAGGGTGACCGACTAGGAGAAACGCTTGTCGAGGCATGTCAAAATAGAGGCCTGACACTAGGGCTGATTGCGCTTCAGAGCGCAACATGATAGACATCGCTGTCAAGCTCAGAATTAACTGGTTGTTCTTGAGAATCTAACGACAATAGCAGCATACATCGGGGATATTAAGAAGAGGCTCTAAATGCTGAACATGCTGGAAGAGGAACGACTAGACAACGAGATTTACGTAGTTCTGAGGTAGGTTATCAAGACTGCAGCAGATGAGGTTCTTGGTAAGGAGTCAAGAAGAGACAACCAAACATCAGTTAATTATGTGCCATGCGTGATACACATTTAGGCGATCATGTATCTTTCGATACATGACTGACAAGGTAGGTTTTTTTTTCCCGTTGTAGTTTGCCATTTCTTTCTACTGTAGAAAATTTGCCATCCAAGGCTATAGAATTCGGTCTGTCCTGCTATTTACCCATAGCAGGGGGAGAAGAAGTAGATTCGTACATTTCCCAAGGGTATTTGCGCGTAATGAATCCAACTGGAACTGAAACTTGGTTCTCCTATATCCTTTTTGCTAGTCCTTATCAGTTACATCACCTGCACATCGAAGGCTATACCATCTAGTATTCCCAAGAGGTTACTCATCTATGTACTGACCAAGCGTAATGTTGCTTAACTGGTGATCATACGAGAACCACCACCATTCTTAGAAGACTCTTCCTTGGGTTGACTGACGAAGAGTGCTCAAGAACAGGCAGAAGGTCAAGGAAGACGGTGAGCTAAGGTAATTAAAAACAAAATAGCCCCCCCTCCAAAAAAAAAACAGTGAAGTTCAGCGCGATGTAGATTGAATAAACGCTTGTGAGAAAAGAGGAGGGCCTGCATCATGCCAACACGCGGAAGATATACAACGTAATCAACACTCGGAAGAAAGGATTTTAATCGAGACAGAGAGACATCAAGGAATTCAGTGATGAAAGGTCTACGGTAAGGGTCTTTATCATGAAGCAAAGAAATGAAAATGGGGAGATAATTTACATCCTGAAGAAGAATCTATTTAAGAAGTGCACACAGATATTTTCCATTGACTATAGATACAATGTAATCTAATGGAATCAAAATTATATAGTAGCTGAATTTTTCTATTAAAGCAATAAAGACAAGGATACTCGTTCTCAATGCATAAATTATTGAAGAATCATATAACAATTGTATTTGTCCTTCCATTCGTTACTCATACGACCCTTACGCCTTGCCAATACCTCATAAACAATGGACTATCCTGTTTTGATCATGTGCAATGACAAAAGATATATCAAAGAAACTAATTGGTTTCAGTGAAAAAATTTAAGAAAGAAGATAGAAGTGTTTAACGACAGGTTTAATGAAATGGAAAACAAATTGTCAATTTCAAGTCATGTCATTTGTATTCCCTTACTTCTTAAAATAACGACCGGGCTTCATATTTAGATTTATATTGAAATATTTTGTTAAAGTTGTTAAGCTCAAATATTTAACGGAATTTAGGGAAATTTTCTTATTATCGTAGAACTCCCCATGAACTTATTAAATCATTAACTTAAAAAAATAAAGAATTAAGATTCCTCCGAAAATTTAATTAGGAAAAAATATGAAACTTGCACGTGACTTTCTAGTAAATAGATAAATGGTGTAAATAAACAATCTAATATAGTAACATTGTTTATTTTGTGGTCACTTCTCAAGAACAATGAAAATATATAAATTAATTTTCATATGTTTAGGTTTTATTATAATTCTTATCATTGCATTTTAAAACAATAAACATTGCCGAGGAGTGAAGGTAGTTAAAATAATATCCTCTATTAATACCACATAAATAATAGCCTATTCCGTTTTGATCGCGTGGAAAAAGGGGAAAAGGACACTACTTGGTTTCACTGAGAAAATGAATGAAAGAAAGAAAGATGGGAAGATACAAGTGTTTAATAGATGTTTTAGTGAAATGGAAAAAAAGTGTTCAATTGTAAATCTTTTCATTTGTATCCCCTTACTTCTTCAAATAACGCCCAGCTTTCATATTTATGATTGTTATTGCAATATTTTATTAAAGTTGTTAAGCTCAAATATTTAACAATACGATAGGGGAATTTCTACGGATATTTTATTGTCGTAGAACTCGCCATGAGCTTAATCAATCATTAACTGAAGAATTAAGATTCGTCAGAAATTTCAAACAGGAAAACCGGGAAATTTTCACGATTTAAAACTAATTAAAATCTTTTTTCATCGAACTTATATTTATTCATTTTGCATGTTTTGTATGATGATATAATTAATAATGAATGCAAAAGTGGCCTAATTACT